TAAATCTAATCTGTTGGCCAATCGTAACAAATATAAAAAGTATTGGGCTGTTACGAAGGCATCGGAGACCTTTTTCTATAAACCTAGAGAATGGGAAAATAACAGTGGCTGTACGTAAAGAGTCTGATAATTCAATAAGTGTAGTGAATGGAGAAGTAAGTAATATAATTTTATACCGATACATGGCAGTCGGTTATGTCTAATCAAGTGAAATGTGAGATTGCATGGGACAAGATCAAAACAGTCGACAGTCCGGCAACATTAGCAATTTGTGTTATGTGTATTTATATAAATAAAGTGTTGTCGTTCAAATGTCTAGTTAATGACAAACACTAATTAATTGAATACAATCAGCCTTCTTCAACAACGTAGCAAAACATAAAACCTGGCGATGAGCATTGACGAATCCAGCACCTTGAAATAATAAACAGGACTCTCCAATTTCTCGAAGAAATCTATTGATTGGATATGGGATTTTCGCGGCAGAGGCAGATCGGAATTTTCTGAGTTTATATAATAGAAAATTAAAGTAAAAAAACTAATTAAGAAAAATGAAGCTCTTATTAAGACACTAAATGGAAGAGCAGAAACTAAAATTAAAAAAAAAGATGAAAAGCTTCTGTACGTGTTGAGAAATTTTATGAAACTTTAGAAAGGTTCGATTATCGTTTATTAAATATTAAAGAATTCGTTTCTTATGATTTCAAGCTTATCTTGAAGTTCAAAACGTTAGTAACGATAAACGTGCGAAAGTGCTGGTAGCAAATTTGAATCCTAAATTATATAACTTGTTGAGAAATAATAAAAGTTTTGAAAAGCTCAAAACGATATTTAAAAAACCAAAGCTGAAGCACAGTTGAAATTGTAGGGAAAATTGATGACGTCAGGAATAAAGGTGAGTCAAAAAAAAAACTTATAAACCATCCTTAAATAGGCAATCAATTAAACATTTCAATCTGAAACCGAAATCGTTAATGCACTTCGCTCAAAGAAAAACAGATCGAAAGGGTTACTATTCACACTGTTTGGGTGATCATAATTAATTTAACTAGTGGGCCGCGCCCCCTGCTCGCTAACGCTCGCCAACCCCCGAAAATTGCTACGCAATCTTTTAAGGTTTGCTTCGCTCGCTACTAACTTAGGTACGTTGCAAATGCACAAAATTCTAAGAATTCAAAACAATCATTCAAATCCATATAACAACTTTTTTTTTAAAAAAATTACATCTTTTTAGTAGATACTAAGTCATTAAAATAAATTTGAATTCAAATAAATGACATGTAATTCGTTAAACCTATTAGAAATGTGCTATAGTATAAAATCTTAAGATAAAATTTCCAAAACTGATATCTCTTTAAAAAGGTTAAAATTTCGGCTATAATTAAGTCTATTAAAAATTGTAATAGTATATAAATTCGCGAAAAAAAGCGCTTTCGACAAAATACTAAAATAGAGATCCATCGACAAAGACTACTCACTTCTGCCTAGCTTAATAGTATGAGATTGCCGCAGATGAATTGAACAACCTGATAGGGTGAATTTCGGAAGAGATCACATTTGGTGAGAATGCTCTCTCTGGTTATTGCAGTTTCCGTCTTTAAAAGTGCTATGTGTTGAGCCACCTCAGCTAGATTTGGCGTGTGACATTTTTAGCGGCAATCATTGGTCGATTTTCTAGCGTTGCCATTCGGGGAGTTGTAATGAGGCTTTTTTTTTGTCGCCGTGTAAGAGAAATATATATATATATATATAGATTGCGAGTTTATTTCTTATAAATGAGGGTTTTGTAAAAACATATCATACTCCGACATATCAAAAAAGCATATGTTATGTTAAGATAAATTAATCAAGATTGATAAGACAAAAACAAATCGATGTTGAAGAGAATTTTTTAGAAAATAATAATGGCAAAAATATTTACATATTAAAATGTCTTAAATGAAGTGGAACCATTAAAGTCTCTAATTATGATAACGGCTGAAATCGAAAATTAACCAGTTCGAATTTATGTCGGTACAGGTGGGACAGTTTCAGTAATGAAATTTTTTTCTCTCGTTTTTTTATAATTGACGTTCAACAAGCTCCGATTCTGAGTTAACGACTATTAATGTTAATCTCCATATAGCCTTAAAATTTTAAACCCAACCCAGATGGCAAGGGAAATCCTGGATTACGCATTGGGACAAATTAGCCTCTGTGAAGGATTTTTGATGGAAATAACCGGCATTTGTGTTACATGGAGAGGAAAATCTCCCACGGTTAGCCTGATTCTAACTCATGATAACTCTACCACTGAGGCTATTTTACATCAGCACTGTGGTCAGTGCGAGCGGAGCAAAATTTTTACCAACCAGACTCCGCTGGGATTCGAATATGGGTCACCTCATTGCGGGGCGAACGCTTTATCCCCTGAGCCACCGTGGCTTCAGTAATGAGTTTAAAAAATTTCTGAAAATATGGGGAAAAGAAATTCATCCAATGATTATAAGTTTTTAAAACTGATTCCGCTTGGTCCTTCTGTTAAGCTACATCACAGTAAGAGTAGAGTATCGAAATAAAAAAACTCAACTTGAATTTTTACATAGTAAAGGAAGATTTAGATAGCATTTTTGGACGTGAATATAACTTTATAAAACTAATCCTGTTTGGAATTCTGTAGAAATGTTTAAAAGTTCGTGTAATTTAAATTTAAATAAATTACTTGATCAATGTAAGGATATTTTTTAAATAAATTAGATGAAATAAATAAGTATGAAGTAGAATTAAAGTAACAGCCTAATGCTGTACCACTTCCCTCCGAGTTTGGCCGGTACCGTTTGCATCAAAAGTCACATAGAAAATGAAATTGATAGACGTGAAAAAGATGGTGTCATTGAAAAAATAAAAACGTCATAGCGTGATGGCACACTTGACGAATAAATAAAGAAAAATTTTTAAAAAATACGAAATATCACGCACAATTGACACAAAAATAAAAATAAATTAATTTTGAAGAAAATATGGCTATTTTCTGGCACACACCTGTCCTGCATTCTTTGCACTGAATTTTTTATTTTTTTTTTTTAAGGTAAAAGGAAATTATATTCTCTACACTCACATTTACCTTTATCTATTCAAGGTGTAAAATCCGTAGACGCTTCAGAATTCGGAAATCTAAAATATATTTTGTCAGCTATAAGCCTTTCGAGAAAAAAAGGAAAATTCTTAAGAATACGTTTTTTCCCCATTCGAGAAAATCGCAAGTGAATGAGAACCTGATCGGTAGAATATACAGGGGTTGGACAAAATATTGGAACACTTCAATACTAATTCGTTTTTTCATATTTCTCAAGGAAAACGTAGAGAAATATTTTGAAACTTTATAAGTGTTTAAATCACGCGATTTCAAATACATATCAATTAAGTTTTAAGCTATTACAGGCTTGAGAGACTGGCAATAAATTACGAATGAAAAAAAAATGTTTTCGAACACCCTATACCAAAAAAATACAGCTATAAGCCATTAGATACGTACATTTTTATAAAACATTTGTTATGAAATTTTGTTTTATGATACAAAATGAAATTCCAAGAAAATCCCTTATCATCCGAGCCTTCAATAAAAAATTACTAAAGAATAGAAATTTAGAAATTCGCCAGAATTTTTTTACATTTTCCAGATATTAGAATCAGACTTTCTTCATGAGTTACCAAATACAATTCTAAACAAAATTATAATTTATTTTTTTTTAATGTTAACCACACATGCGCAGTATGAAAGTATTACTTTGAATATTCATATGTTGAGCAATTTTTAACAAATTTTTTATTTTAAAATGAAATTTTTTATTAATAACTAAAATTTACTCTAAAAATCGTGCTTAATTTTAACGAATATTTTTGCAGTTATAGTACGAAAACGTAATCAAAAAAAATTTTTTTTTCATAAAAATGTCTGTAACTCCATGAATATGTAAGATAGAGATTGGTTTACAAAATTTTGTGCTGTTATTTCATATGATAATCAAGGTAATTGACGTGAGTTGCAATTTTTTCGCGGCATTGTTTGATTTAGGGTGTCCAGAAACATTCTTTTCGGTTCGTTATTTATTGCCTGTCCCTCAAACCTCGATAAACTTGAAACTTAATCGATATGTATGAGAAATCGCATGACGTAAGCACCTCCGACCCCTGTATTTATCAGTGAAAAATTCACCCATCAGGCTCTAGTTCGCATTAATCTAGCATCCTGAATATAACCATTCACATTACTTGCGAAAAAATAATGGGTGTTGTTGTAGTAGTTCATTTACGTCGCACTAGAGCTGCACAATGGGCTATTGGCGACGGTCTGGGAACCATCCCTAAGGATGATCCGAAGACATGCCATCACAATTTTGATCCTCTGCAGAGGGGATGGCACCCCTGCTTCGGTAGCCCGATGACCTGCACGCGAAGTCGAGCACTTTACGGTAGAACAGTTTAACGAGGACCAATAAACCACATAATCGATCCCTATGCAGACTTGTCCAAGTGGCCACCCACCCGCACACTGACCGCAGTCAATGATGCTTGACTTCGGTGATCTGCTGGGAACCGTGTCTTAACAATCAGCCCATTGCGGGACAAATAATGGGTGTAAATTCAGAAATGTGAACGAGAACCAGGTTAGTAAGTTTTCAGAAACTTGCCGTATCGCCCCTAAAAAGAGGAGAGTTTGAGTGGTGAGCAACCTTATTTGTTGGGAATGGTGTAAGGTACGTGTAAGCTGACCAACGCCTTCAAAAAACTTAAAAACTGGTCGTAAAATTTCTATGTGAATATTCAAAAACTAACCATCTTGTCTTTTTAAAATAAAATTTTTAGAACAGAGATCCCTCACAGGGACTGAACGCTCGTCTCCTTTTTAGTGAGTTGCGAAACTGCGCATATGAAAAACGGTTTTGAATTAAGACCACTATGTACATTTCAAGCTATAAGCAAACAACTGATTTTAAATAATACTCAATAATTGATTTTCACCATCACATCAATTGTAAAAATTTTTAAAAAAACTATATACTTCTTCACTAATGTACTTGTTTATTTCATAAAGTTTGAGATTTTTTTGTTAAAACAACAATATTTTGAAACGTCAGAGCTTATGAGGATTCTTTTAATCTTACGAGAAGAAAAGATTTTAGGTTACGAGAGATAACGAAATTTAATAATCTGCGGTGATAATATGATTCTGAATGATGATTCTGCAGATTTAATAATACGCAGAATCATCATTCTCAGAAAAAAAAATTTTTTTTGTTTAATCTCTAAAATTTTATTTTATGGTTAAAATGACTTTCACCGATAAAGTAGCTATTGTAACTGGTGGTGCACAAGGTATTGGGAAATCTTATTGTTTGGAATTGTTAAAAGAAGGAATGAAAGTGAATATTACTTTAGGCTACTGATTATTTTAATTTTTTTAAATTAAAAGTACAGTCAAACCCCGCTATAGTGAACTCCAGGATATAGAGAACGAAATGTTCGGATGCCTTGCCTAATGTTATTTTTTGTGGCTATAGTGAACTAAAAAAGTGAGGAAGTTGAATATTATGAACTTTTTTCTGTGTTCGACTGATTTTTTTTCCTTCAATTTTTTTAAAAATAATATTGAAATGTCTACTTCAAAATAAATACTTATACTGATTTTTAAAACCATCTATAGAGTGGAATGTAGTGATAAGCATTTTCTCTTGTTTGCTTCTTTTATCACACTTTTCCGTCCATAAACAAAGACCTACCCAGGCAGATGTATGGACAAATTTTTCCCTGCATCAGCTAAAGATTACTAATTTTTTTTGGTTCACAAGACGAAGAATAATAAAAAATAAAAGCAAGTTAACACATTTAATGATCTCCCGGAACAGATATAGTGAACCGAAATTTTGATCCCTTGAAGATTCACTATAGTGGGGTTTGACTGTATAAAAGTTTTGCCATTCCATTCTACTTCTTTATTTTCTTTCTTCAAGTTGTAATTTTATCCTGGTTAACCAATTAATATCTTTCATGAAAATATTCTAGAATATTGAAAACAATGTTGATTGTAGACAATGTTGTTGTTAATGAAATATTAATGATTCCACTTCATTTAAATATTTTGTAGCTCTTCGATCTAACGCCAGTCTTGTCTTTAAGATTAGGCTAGATTTTTTTTTATTTTTTGAAAAATCAAAAATATTTGATTTAAATTTGCTTTTTTTTTGTAGTTAAAGCTTGTTTTTTTCCCCACTTTTTTAATAGTTATTTTTTAATTTTTTCATTTAAAGAAGTGAAATTTTACAAACATAATTTAATTGAAGTTGTTTTATAAAAAATAAATCTTAACAATACATTTTCCAACTATAATAACTTTATCTTGAAAATTAGTTTGCTTTAAATGATGAGAAGATGTTTGTTTGAGATGCTTAATTTTTTCTAATATAACTTTATTTTTTAATTTGAATTTCAACTCTGAAAATAAGTCATTGTTTGTCTTTAGTGCATTCTCAGAAGTTTTGATGGTCTCTTCTAAAGGTTTTCTTCAACACAAAATTTATAAAAAAAATTCCTTGCCTCTCAAAAGTGGTCATAAATAGCGGTGGTCTATCCTAGAAGTTTCACTGTATTATATATATAACATAAATTCAATTCAAATTTTTAAAATAATTATTTGTTTTACATAAAAATGATATTTTCATAATGTCAAAAAAAAATAGAAAGGAAAAAAAATTAACAAATAAATAAGCTATTTACTACTGCAGTACATTTGGTGAGACTAAATCTCAATGTTTTTGTTTTAAATATATAAGTTGCTTTACATATACAATTTTAATCGCCTTATTTTTTTATTCTTAAATAAGTAAGAAATTAATTAGAAATAATTTTTACGAATGTTTTTGTTTCCTATGCATATTTCAGTTTTTCCTCAAGAATTGAACACTTACTAAATAATTTTAATGCATTCATTGTTATTACAATTTAAATGGATAAATGTATTTAGTGAGGCTTGACACTTTGTTTTATATACACATTGTTTAAACTTAGAACATATAATTACAGATATGCCTGTGCGATGTCAGTGAAAATGCAGCTGAAGATTTTATCAAGAAACTACCTGAAAATTTGAAAGAAAATATTTTCTTTCAAAAATGTGATGTTACTTCTTTTAATGATTTTAAAGGTAATTCCAAAAAATGTGTGTGACTTAATGAAATAGGCATATTAAAATTTCAACAGTGTGGTTTTTGAAAACCATTATAATGCCAAAGCTTGTGAGGAGAATTTATAAAAAAAAACAACAATTGTTTTACCAAACCATTTACCCGCTGGTGGTTTAGCAAATGGTCAAAATTAGGAGAACGTTTCTTCTTTATACACTATTTCCTTATCTAATTACATGGAAAAACTGATTTTGCTAGGTAGAGAAAATTGAAGTTTACAGCTTTTTAGGTGCAGAACTGTTATTGGGTTAAAAAGAAAATTAAATTTCTGTTAAATCATTAATTGTATGTTTTTACTGTATGTGAGCCTAATTTCTAGAATCAACCTGTCATCTAAAAACTTTTAGGTCTTCAATGGTTATTTATTTATTTATAACTTTAGGTGCATTGCAATTTTACTTAATAAATTTTTTTTATTTAAAAAATTCTATTTATTTTAAGACCATTTCCTTAGTAATAAGTGTGACAGCTATTATTTAATTCTTTATACATTCTGAATTTAGTTGATTTACGAGAGTAATTTTGTGCTACATTGGAATTGACACTCTTTTTCAAATTATATGTATTCAATTTAATTTAATTATATTTATCATTTTGTTATAATGTCTAAATTTGTGGATATTAGTTACCCGATGTAAAAATTTTTGTTTGAGTGTAGTTTTTATTATAATATTATTATTACAATAATTGGAAGAATGTTAAAAATTTAAATTTTTTTATGGTCCGAAAAGCTATTATCCTGTTACAAGTTGAACGATTAGTTGATAATCACCTCAGAATTTGTTAGCAACTCTGCCACTTTAAAGCATTTAAAGCAATTTTTAAAAGTAGTCAGAGTTAAAAGTAAATAATCCTCACATTCAAAAGAGAAAGTGTATTACATAAAACTCAATATATTATAGTAGACATTTTCAATGCACAAATGAAATTTTAAATTTTTCTTTTCTCAGAATTAAATATAATTTATATTTGTTATAACTTACACTAATTATTAAAGATATTTTTAGATGCTTTTGATAAAACAATAGAAAGATTTGGACAAATCAATTTAGTTGTAAATAATGCTGGAATAATGAATGAGCAGGAATGGAAGAAGACAATTGAAGTCAATATGGTAAGTTGGATGAGATAAAGACTTTCAATACAATTTCAATTCTGCTTGACAATTGCTAAGAAACAACTAATTTATGCAAAATAGCATTCCAGACAGTGCCATAATATCAAGCGCAAAGGGCGTGGTAGAGTAGGACTCGTTATCTGTATAAAGGGCAGTGTATGCAAGCTCTTCATTTATTCGAAAACTAATGCTTTTAGATATTTAACCAATATAGTGCTGTAGGTTGTTGAACTTATTTCTGTGAAATTCAAGATTTTGTTGCAATAATTAAGGACAAAATGTCAGAAAGACACAGAACCAGTCAGACCCAAATTTTAAGTGTAAGCAAAAATGTTTTTGGCGCTCTCCCTACCTTAAGGATATCATCATCATAGTTGGCCAGACAGGATAATAATAATAAGGACATTAAGGATAATAATAATAAATATGTACTTAGTAAAATAAATTTTTTTCATAATTTTAAAAAATAATTCAAAGTCTCTAAATTTTATTTATATTCAATAGCGAAAAAAAAATATATCCTATCCTAAGCAATTTTAGAATAGCAATCAAAATATTAGACATCTATATTATATTTACATTTCTAGCTATTTATGCCTGGTATTTTTAAATGAAAAGAAAGTATTGTTTTTGCATACAATTCTTTCGCATACAATTTTGCATACAATATTTAGCTTTTGCATTCAATTAAATCTTGCTTTTTATATTTTAAAATTATTTTATTTGATAATGAAAAAAGAAATGAATAATAAATTCAAAATTGTTCAAATGTATACGCATTAGATTATTTAGATGTATAGAAATGCTTCATTCAAAAGTTTTTTACTTGATTATGTGAATTCATTGCTAAATATTTATTATAAATATCAGTACATTTCTTTATTTCATTCATCTGCCCTTATTCATAGTTTTTTCATGGATTGTTTCTCACAGCATGATCTTGAATAATTTTATAAAATATAATGAATTGAGTGGAATTAATTATCGACTATATCAACCCTCATCTATCAAAAGGTAACTCTTGATAGAATCATGTTAACATGGCTTATATACTAGTGAATTGGTATTTAATATTTGTAGTGGTAGTTATGCCACATTAAGCGTGTTCACATCACGTAGGGAAATCACCAATGTGAACACGCCTGCTTTGACAGAAACGCATACTTCGATGAATGATCCACATTGAACAGTTTACTTGTGACTGAGAGATTAACCAACTCCTCGCACTGTTGCTGCTCAGTCTCGCCTCTTTCATAAACAACGTAGTAATGTGGCATAACTACCACTACAAATATTAAATACCAATTCACTGATAGATGAAGGTTGATATAGTCAATAAGTAATTCCCCTCATTTTCATATCATGTCCGGGTCACCAATGTGGGGAAGTAATTATTGACTATATCAACCCTCATCTATCAAAAGGTACCTCATGATAGAATCAAGTTAACATGGCTTATATACTAGTGAATTGGTATTTAATATTTGTAGTGGTAGTTATGCCACATTAAGCATGTTCACATCACGGAGATCACCAATGTGAACATGCCTACTTTGACAGAAACGCATACTTCGATGGATGATCCACATTGAACAGTTTACTTGTGACTGAGAGTTTAACCAACTCCTCGCACTGTTGCTGCTCAGTCTCGTCTCGATCATAAACAACATAGTAATGTGGTGTAACTACCACTACAAATATTAAATACCAATTCACTGATAGATGAAGGTTGATATAGTCGATAATTAATTCCCCTCATTTTCATATCATGCCCGGGACACCAATGTGGAGAATTAATTATCGACTATATCAACCCAGGGCTAAAGAGAATACAAGGGCTAGTTCACTCCGCTCTTAGAGCTGAAGCTACGATTTGCCTCCTCATGACGTCACTGTGTCCACAGATCTCGGAGATCGCAAGCAAAGATATGATAACTTTGCATCTTTCTCTTTGTAAAAATAAGTTAGACTTTTTCTGGTTATTAGCCTTCAAACTTTACGTAATTAACACATTATTTCCGTTCATAAACATAGTTCAAAAAAAACTTTCTTGGTTATTATATTAAAAAAATACCATTTTAAACTTATAAAAATGTTTTGCTAGTTGGTGAAAATGACACGATAAATACTTTATTTTAAAAAGTTCAGTTTTAACTTTAACTATTAAGAAAAATGAAGGCATATATCGACACTTTTTTTATCTACATATTCTTTTATAAAGATAAGTTAAGTTAAATTTAGAATCCCTGATTTTAAAATATGTCGTTAATAGCAATTTGTTCATACTTAATCATTAGGAAACATCAACCTTAAACGCTAATTACTGAAACAAAATAATAATTTAGGTTCATAATGACATTAGAAATTTTACAATTGTTTATAGACATTTAAATTTACGATGATATAATTTATAGATATTTAAATTGAAGAGAATATAATTTTTAAAAAAAATCATAAATATTTAGAATAACTACATTAAAAAATATGTTATGAAATTAGGAGAATTTCAACTATATACTATATATTTTATTTATACTTTTTACTTACATTTTAATTTTCTTTGACTTTATCTATTTTTTAATTCTTTTCACCTGCCTTTCTTTATGAAGTAACGAGGCGGTTTCTATTTAGATAATGAATTTTTATAAAAGTTCTTTACGACAGAATAAACGTATTGCTGTTTTATATTAACTGTGTCATTTCGGAATCCATTCTTTACATAGTTGTTCATTTACTTTAGGGAACACGCGAAAAATTATACTTTTTCCTTTTGTTTTTATATCAGAATTTTTGCAAGTTGCAATCGCGCAAACTGGCATTTCGATAATAGTTTTAAATTCTTGTAAATTCACTGCAAAAACTGAGGAAAGTCATTATAGAAAATAACAAATGTCTTAGAATATCTCGCAAAAAGAAATGATCCAATATTAGTTAGAGCTAGTAAGGCCAAACGCTCCGTTCTTGAAGTAAAAGTGCGAGCTTTGCGCCAAAGTGACGTCACTAGAGTGACGTCTGAGGATCGGAGCGGCGAGAGATAGTTCAAAGGAGTGAACCAGCCCTTCTATTCTCTTTAGCCCTGATATCAACCTTCATCTATCAAAAGGTACCTCATGATAGAATCAAGTTAACATGTCTTATATACTAGTGATTTGATATTTAATATTTGTAGTGGTAGTTACGCCACAGAATAAAGGTAGGAGTACTTCAATCACTCATCATAATTGTCTGACTGTACACCATCAGCTTCCTCAACATTCTGCTCGCTTTAACATTTCCAAAATTCCTGTTCCTGATATTTTACTCAAAAACATAATTATTTTTATCAATCCGTCATTTTAATTTTGTAGGCTAAATAGCAAAAGATTTCTGAAAACCTGGACATTTACATTGTTGATTAAAATTTAAAAAAACTAGTTAAAATATATTGTACAATTTAATGTAACAAAAACAGCAATAAAATTACAAAAAAAAGATTGATCATTGAAACTTAATGAATCACTAGAACTTAAAATTAATGAAATAAATGTCTTGATGTCTTATATAAAGCAAAAATTAGCTGCTTTTAAAAAATTTCCAAAATTTTATTCCAATTAGTAAATATTTAAGAAATTTTAAAAATATTACTATTTAAAAAAATGCAGTATAAGAAATTTTGAAATGGGGAAAAAAAATATTGTACATTTAGGATTACAATTTATCGATAGGAGATGTAACAAACAATATTAAAATTTTTAATTTTATTCAAATTTGACGTAATTTTAAATTTAATATTGAGAAAATTATAAAATGTAGAAAAACATAATAATCTGAAAAATCAAAATTAAATCAATGAAATGGCAATATACATTATTTTTTTTAAGTCTACTTTAACAAGTCTCACAGATAAAATTACAGAATAATTACCTAATCAGTATTTTGAGTTACACTAAAGGTAAAGAAAACACAATAGAATTGGGGAAGAAAAGAAGTAATTCAATAATGAATTTTTAAAAAATGAATACCAATCTAACAATATTTTATACTAATTAAAAGGGAAACAATTTTATATTTCTGAAATTTAATTAAACTAAAATAAAGCATCGTTAACAAATCATATACTGATAAAATAAACGAAAACAATATGACTATAAGACTTTTAAATTAATATCACATTTTAAAAAGTAGAAATTTATAAAATTATAATTTAACTGAATGAAAGTTATAAATTTTGTATTTACTTTTAGAAAGATGCAAAAAGTAACTTGAATCTGAAATTGCTGATATACCTTTATAATTTGAAAAATTGATAAAAATTTTAGATGGTTACTTTCTTTCAACGCATTGTGCAGCCGAAAATTCAAGGAGTGTCCGTTATACCCTTCCTTTAACATAGTAATAATTAATTTTGCTGACGAATCAGAAACCATCTTTTGCTTGTTATTTGTTTTTCTTAAAAATTTTGAATTAATTGTTTCCGTAAAAAGAGACCAATGTCCAATGTTATATCAATATTTGCAACTTCTCATTTTTCTTTAAAAAAACACTTACCTTCCCATAGCAAATTTTTCCTAGAACATTGTGGAAGGGGAAATTACTATAGGCAAGTCACTCCCATTTTCTCCAAACGGTTTTTCTGTAGAAACATTAAAGGAGACTCAGCAGGTTTTAGTCTCTATGAGTGACCATCATTTCGGCATCAGCAGATCTTAAATTGTAAGACCAGAATGCCATCAGTACTAGTGAAAAGATCTAAGACGAGGAATGCTGCATTGCTACACAGTTTAAAGGGTTATTTTTTTTAGCAGAGTATTAGATATATTTCAAAATTTTATTTTAGGAAAAAAGTTCATTTTAACTTGTATTTTTCAACAAGCAAGCAAGAAAAAAAGCTTTTAGAAGGGAAAAAGACATAAAAAGTTTTTTATTTTTAAATCTAGCCTTACTTGACTCCGGCGCCCCGTTACACAGCTGCTTACTACACTTATATCTCGGACTGTTCCTCGTAACACATCATCTAAGTGCTTACAATCTCGGACGACTGAAAACAGATCAAAGTGTCACCACTGTGGCCACAGTACTGGAATTGTCAAAGAATGTCAACTCAATATTAAAATAGGCAGCTGAAGCTGGAAATGCTATGTGAAAACACGCCAGTAGTCATGGTAGGGACATCATAAAAAGAATTGTGAATTTTTGAAAGTATTCTTTTTGATAAACAACATGTTTGCCGATCTTCTAGTAGATGATGTTTTTTTTTTAAGTTTGAATGTATGGCCATATAAGTGGACTTTCTACTACTTGATTAAGAAAAGTAGATAATTGTCTGTAAGAAAATTAATTTTACTTTTATCTTGTCTTTTCAATATCTAAAAATAGAAATATAGGCAGTGTTTTAAAAATACACTATGTTATCTGGCTTAACAGTTCCCAATTTTTTCGTGAATATCAACATTTATGATCAATACTTCTTTTTCAAAAATTATATTAAATCTAAAATTAAATAACTATTGAGTATTATAACTAAGTTCCTTATTGAAAACTGATAATTTCTACTGTTTTGCTAAAATTCAATGTTAAAATGCAACTTTAAAATTCTTTGATAGTAAAGATGATGAGCAATTGTTTTCTATTGTTTAATGAGTCATTTTAATGCAATATTATAATTGTTTAAGTTTTTTAAAAATTTTCCTTAGATTGGTGTTATACACGGAATTCAACTTGCTTTCCTGTATATGGGTACTGACAATGGTGGCAGTGGTGGTGATGTGATTAATACTTCATCCCGTATGGGTAGGTAGTAAAAGAACTTTGTGGTATTGATAGTGCTGTTAAGCACATTTTATTTCTTTATATGTGTTTCAATTAGCTTTTAATTCTGATTGCATGATTTATTTCAAATGTTCTTATGTTAAGTGTGAATTGACTGTAATGTATTTTATCCTTAATTAGATTAAATGTGTAATCCAGTTGCAAAAACTGATAACTGCACTTTTGAAAGGGTTTAAAATGAACTTTTGTAGTTATTAAAAATAAAACAATAATGACATTTAAAAGAAAATATTATTTTTATTTTTTATATTTCATTATATTTTGTATTGTGTTTATATTTACACGTAAGTGCACCATTTTGATCTCCTTTCTTCTTAAGATTGCCTGTCATATATTAATTGCATAACAGTGCTAAACATGTAAATTTCAATTTCAAAAGATCTGAATTCTTATTTTACTTTAACAATAATTGTACTTCTTATAAATTTTTTATCTTTCCTTTTTGAATAGGGAGATTTTTTTCAATAAAAGTCAAGCTATTAAATGATAAAAAATCTTTATTTAAATGCTTATTAAACTTATCCATTTTTATGTTTTTAACTTATTCAAAACCATTTATATTGATTATAATATTTAACTATTCTATTGCTTTTATAAAGAAGTTGGCAAAAATATTTATTCAATTAGAGCCTATATAGCAATGAAAAAATGTATACATTATATTAACACTTCCAAGTTTCCTACACCTCAGAGAAAACCTAGGGAACTTGGAAGACTCAGAAATTTCAAATTAACATTTTTTTTTACAATAAGAAAAAAAAAAAAAAAAACAGTGATTTTTCGAAGAAGTTTTTCTAAAAAACAATATTTTAAATTATGTTAACAATTTAGTAGTAAAGTATCAAAGTATGTAGAATTGCATGAAAATTTGTCTTCTTTTGGCTTAAAACTAACTAGCTTTTCTTTAAGTATTTTTTTTTTATTCATATTATTTTTCAATAGATTTTTTTATTTTAATTGATCTTCAACTCAGGTTGTTGTTACAGGTTTCAAAAGTGGTCCTTTTACTCCAGTATATTGTGCTACTAAATATGCTGTAATAGGATTAACAAAAAGTTATGGGGTGGGTACTTTTATATGGCTTATTCTATTGTTTATCATTTTTTTACCATAGTTAAGTGCGTTATATTATTAGTCACCAAACGTTTTGAAATCATTGCACACATATCATATTTAAAATTTTGCACCGTTACCAAACCCATTGTATTTATCTGAGGATTACTATTTCCTACAATAGTTGAAAGAAAAGTTTTCAGTCTTTTGTGTCTCTTATATAGCTCTAAAATCATTTTTTCCAGGATCCTTAAGATCGAAAAGCATGAGTTTTAGTTCTAAATCTTAAAAATTTTTAAGATTTTTTATTTGTCTGTTGGGGGAGGGACATGTAAAAAATGAATTTTTCTCATAGGACTAGCATTATGCAATGTTATAATTTAAACCACACACGCTTTTTTTCCAATTGCTTATAAGATATTTTTGATGTTTGCTAACTTACCGATTAGCTATTTAATTAGCAAAAGAAAAAAAAAATATTGGAATTTATCCTGTGTGTTTTAAAATTGCTGTTGTTCAGTTCTTACTTTTTGGACTTATTATTTAGCATAATTTATAGTTGTTGAAAAAATGTTCCCTACAAATACAAAAGATGGAAAAAGCATGAACTTAAAATTTTTATATACAATATAAGTAAATATGAATGCATCATAAATAGTATTTCAATATGTGTGTGTTGATGACAAGAAATTGCGCTCAAAACTTTAATCATATATGGAGGTATCTAATGGTAACTATTGAGCTCTAAAAATTTTTTTTACTCAATGTTATATGTTTCAAACATAGAGTTATAAATAAGAAGGAGTGGGCATTCCTCCCCTTCCCTGTTGGCGCGAGTGAAGTAACTGTCAAGTAGCGACGGCCATGTTGGTATAACCAGAAACTTTGCAGAGCCGCTCAGGTTTCAAGAGGAAGAGTTAGGTTGTTTTTGATCTTTTCTCTTATGATTGGAAAATTTCGAAAACGAGATTGAAATAGTTTTGTTGTTAATACATAACACCTTTTTTCAACATTAGTTTCTTTTCTTCTTCCCAAAAAATAATGTTCTAAGATAGCTCTATTTTACAACTGAATTAAAAAAAGAACTTTACAGCAGTTTTCGGGAACTTTGGTTCCTTTTTATTTTATCTAGGCATTAAAAGTAATATATTATTGTTATTTAAGGGGGCAGCTTTCCTATTAAAAATTTATTCAAAGAATATCACATTAAAACCCCACTAGTTTGAATACAAAGAAAATAATATGAAACGCACTTTTCTTTAAAGTTAGAATATTTAAAGAGAAAAATATTGTTTTGTGATAAAAGAATAGCAATAATCAGCATTAAGCCATTTGAGTAAACAATTGAGTAATAAAACTAGTCCATAACCTACTGTTTATTACTAAGCAGAGAAGTCTAATTTCTTTTTCTTTTGAAAAGCACTTCATCATATGAAGTGTACAAAACTGTAATTTACAAATAGCAATGTAAAATAACTGTGTATTTATTTTTTAAGGTAAATACCCAGAGTATTTAATATATATAAATATTTATTTTCCAATTGAGGTTTAAACTCCACTCATGAAATGCTCTATCTCATTCCCAAAATACATGAAGTGGTGAGCAAATAAATGCTTTATAATAAATGCCCAGGCATTATTATCTATAATGAATGCTCTATAATAAATTAAAGCTTTGACACAGCAATTGAGACGTTAGTAGAGGAAGGTGGAGACTCAGATGAAACAAATTTTAAGGCTTTTAAGAAAAGATAAAATGAATACTAAAGCCTTTTTAAGGCACATAGAAATCCTGCAAAGTACACGATTTAAATGTCAACACTTTGAAAATGCAATGAGTAAATATATAATTACTTGCTGATTTTAGCAGCGTTTGAAAAAACCCAACCCGTTTCGGTTTTATTAAAAAAAAGACGGGGAAAATTGGGTTTTTTCATTTAGTGCTCATAAACTTTAAGTTTTACTGTGTAAATATTTTTATTTATCAAAAAGTGTCGCACAAGCTTAAAAATAGAAATAAATCCAAAAAGTTATTTTAATTTTGTTATATGTATTTTATATTAAGTTTAAATAACGCATTATCACTAATATATGTTTGAATCTTCTTTAGTGTTAAGTACATAATGTTTCACAATTTTTAATTCAAGCATTGTAAAATATAAATGCAGCAGTATAAAGGGAACAAGTTTATTAATCTTTTTGTTTTTACACACATTTATTTACTATATTTATTAAACATACATATATATATGTGTGTGTGTGGTACGGTGAATGACCGAAATAGGTGGTTGTTGACTTTCCCCGGTGAATGACAAACACCAAATACGTAGGTTAAAGATCGAATATTTCATTACATTCTTGTACATTCGGACCCTCACCGGTGTATGTCAACAATCACATAGTCGCTTTGGTGAATGTCAGAAATATTTGTTATATCCAATTTTATATTAATTTATTCGTTGATATTATTATATTTATTTGATATATTTATATTTATTCTGTGTTTTAATACTTTCTGACAATAGATTAGAAGAAACATCAGTGTTTGGAGTATCGGGCAAATATATACCGGGCAATGGCATTTGACCTTAAAAAACATCAGCTACCAAGCCACTTAAGGTTAAGTGCCACTGCCTGGTATACCCTACACTGATTTTTTTTAAGGTTAAGTGCCACTGCCCGGTATATAATTGCCCGATACTTGGTGTATACCGGGCAGTGGTTGCCCGATACTCCAAACACTGATGTTTCTTCTGATCTATCGACAGTAAGTATTAAAATATCAAATAAATCTAATTATATCCACGAATAAATTCATATCAAATCGAATGTAATAAATATTTCGGACATTCACCAAAGCGACTATGTGATTGTTGACATTCACCGGTGAAAGTCAGAAATAAGGATATTTAGCAAATATTTCGGACATACACCAAGCGACTACGTGAATGTCGAAATTTTCGAGACTTCGGTCATTCACAGTAACATATATATTATAAAATTATAATCTGTAAATATTTATAATCAGTAAAAACTAACATTTCATCTGACTTTTGACTTTAATAAAAAACTGAAATAAATATTTAATGTTCTTCCATGTTTTTATAATAAGATTAATAGAAAGTGAAATTAAAATTACATATAATTATAAAGAGTATCAGATACTTGTCCCATTTTTTTCAAATAATTAACCCTAAGAAAATTATTTCATTTTTAGATAAATAATTTTAAAAAGTTCTCTTATAAAAAGTTTTAGCTTACTTTTTTAAAGTCGGAAAATAAAACTGTTTAAATTTGTTAATGTATCACTTAGTAAAAAAAAAAAAAATTGTTTCTTTTCAATTTTTTTAAACATATGAATTTATAATTATAACTTGTTTATTAATATATAAAGCATGCAACTATATTTGAAAAACTGATCTTTTCAGACTGTATTATTTAAATTTCTATTTGATTTAATATCATTAAAATATTATTTTTTGAAAAAACCCACTTAAAGTTTTCAATAGTACTACAAAATTATAAGATTCGAGTTTCTTTTACTTTACAAATATTAAAAACTTAATCAGACAAATTTATGCTGCATAATAAATTATATATAAGTAAATGTGCAACACTAACTTTTAATAAAAACATTATTATAAATTTTTTTTATTATTTTTTTTTTAAAAAACCACTTTTCGTTCCAAGTGGGTTTTTTCAAGGTGGGCCCACTTGGAGAACCCTGCTTTTTAGGAAAGAGAGTTATGTTAAAGGAATTATATTAAAGAAAACAACCAAAAATTTAAATTACTTTTAATAAATACAATAATTTAAATTATATAAAATTGTTAAAAGAAACACACAATCTCTTCTAGAACATTTTAGAACTCAGTTTGAAGAATGTTTAAACACATACAGCTCTAGTTCAACGAAGTTCGATGTGTTTTGGTTGTACCAATATGGCGCCGCGGTTGCGGTTAAGGCTTCATTCACATTCTATACTCTTTTTAAAAATTCTTTTAAAATAATTAGTTTAAATATCAATCTAAGATATTTTATTTTGTAGTCTGATTATCACATGAAAAAAACTGGAATTAAAGTGAATGCTATCTGTCCCGGGCCTGTCAACACTTACATCACTCAAAGCTCAGTTTCCAACTCTCTAAATGACGCTGAACAAAAACGTTTCTTGGTCTCTAAAACTTTCATTGAGTAAGTATTCTATTTAAAAATATATTGATTTAAATCTTGACCCCTTTAAATTTTGAGACTCCTAAGCACATTACTGTTTTTTCTTAAAGTTTTGTCAGAATCCTTAGAGTATTGTTTAAATTTGGCACAGTTCAATCAATTCTGCATTTTGTAAAATTAAGCTCTGCATTCAATTTTAGCCCCTAAATGTATTTTCAAAAATGCTACTTCTCGAAGTGTTTAATTACTTAAAAAGAATAAACAAGTGCCCTGACAGAAAATTATATAAATTTTTGCTCTGTAATTTAATGGTTAAATGATGAAATTATGGAGTTTTTAGGTGAATTATTTTTGATCTATTTAAAGAAAGAATATTTTCAATTTTCATTTTGATAGTTTCATAACTGTCATTCTATATATTATCTGTAAAAGAAACTTTTTTATGTATTTAGCACACAGATAATTTATTGCTGATTCTCATAGAAGGAAAAAAAAATTTCAGATGTATCAAATGTTTTAAAAATATCTGACATAAGTTGCAAGGCAGGTAAATGTGATATATAATAATCATTTTTCTCTTTAGTAGCAAGGCTTTATGCTAGATATAGCAATTATATTAGAAACAAAATTATCATGTAAATTGCATAACTTTTAAAGTTAATACCTGAAATTTGAAAGAAATCAGCTTCATAGTTTTTAAGAAATGGTTTAAAGACAAATCTTTTTTTATGAATGCCAATTTTTCTTTCAATTTCATTTTAAATTCTTATTTCCTAAAAACTATTTCTTTTAAATTTTAGTATTGAAAGCTAAGAAAATTAATGTGACTTAAAACAGTGATAGTATTTTATTTATGTCGCACTAGTACAGCACAATGGGTTATTGGCAATGATCTTGGAAAATGATCGAAATCCTCGAAAATGATCTAAAAGCATGCCATCACAATTTTGGTCCTCTGCGGCAGGAATGGCTGCCCCACTTTGGTAGCCTTACCTGTGTGCAAAGTTGAAAAATGTGGCTTCTATTAAATTTGTGCCACTTTCTTCTTTTTTCACATACGAAAAATCCCATGTGAGAAAAACTACCTCTTATATCTTAAAAACTATTAACCTATTCCTTTCAAATTTCAGCATTAAAAATTCAAAAAATTTATGTAACTTAATATTTCTTCTTACTTCATTGAAAAAGAATTACTCCTTATTTCCATGAGAAAAGATTTACTATGTCACCTCTCCTTTACATTTATATAAAATATTTTTTAATAATTTCTGTGTGTACATTATTATATGTATGAATAAATAACCACTAATATAGTTATAGTCCAAAATATAGTTATATTCCTCAGATATATAGATGCACACTGTAAGAATAAGCAAAAATTTGTAAAAAAATATTCTTATATTCTCTGCTCATACACTGTAAAAGTAGGTAAATTTGAAGAAAAAAAATTATTACGAAATTTATTAGAAAATTTTTAATATTGAAGTAAAGTTTAAAAAAACACATAAATTCATTATTTTAAATTTTTTAAATATGCTGCTGCCCTAAAAGCTATTGCCCCCCACAATATGCATTCACTATTATGTAGCTCATTATCTATTCAATTAGTGGGTTAAAAGATTATGTACAAGATTTTATCCAATTCATAGAGAATCGAATCCGTTCCAACATACTTATTATCATAATATAATTTTATTAACTTAAAATAAAGTAAAAATTTAACTAATTCTTAAAACATTATATTCTTGAAACATGCAAAAGAAAATAAAAGTGGATATATTTATTTTCTGGTGGTTATCTTTATTACTTTTGAAAATATTTCTTGTGCCATCATATAAGTATTTTCACTTTTCTCCTAACGTTCATCACTTTATTTTTTTTATATCCTTTTAGCATTTTTAAAATGTTATTTTCTATTTTATCTCTAAAAATCTTCTAAAATCATGATTAAAAAATTCTCACCTACTCAAATATTGTAACAAAATTATATTATAAAACTATTCTAGAGCCTTTTGTTTAGTTTATATTAGGATATTATATTTGTTTAGTTTATATTAGGATATTAATCAAAAAAGAAATAAGTTTAAACTAAAGTAAAATATGCAGTTGCTATTTGCCTTTTTATTGCTATCTTCTTCTTCTCTATCTCTCTCTTTTTTTTTAAACTTATTAGTGTTAACTTAAGAAGAAAAAAAAATTCAACAAAATTCATGTATATATTTACTTTTTAATCTTTTTAGGCCAGATGAACTTGGTAAAGCTTTAATAAAGATATTAAAAGATGGAGGCAATGGTAGCCTGCTTAGGGTTGATGAGTTAGGATTACAATATGTTTAAATGTAATCTGAATGTTACAAAGCATAATATAGGTAAATGTTTATAACAATTTAATAACATATTTGTCGAAAAATTATATGTACAATTAATATACATCCACATTATTTGATGTTCATTTTGTTGTTCTCTGCTTGTGAAGAAACAATAAATATAGAAACTTGTTTTTAATGTAAAAACATTTATTGTTTTCTTGTTTTTGTTTCATAAATTTATAATTTAAAGTGCATTTAGCATACTTTGATCGGTATGCACTTAGTTTTTCTGTCATATATTCAATGAAATCTATTTTAATATGTCTTTCTAAAAGATGCTTTATTTATAAATTTGATTAATAATAAAAAAATTATTTTCAAAATTTTATTTACTCATAACAATTATTCTAAAAAAGTAACATAACTATATAAAAGTTTCTTATATGCAATTATAAGATTTAAGTTGATTATAAAGTGAACAGTTTATATTGATATATATATCATTAAATTGTTTAAGTTTATGTTATTATAAATATTATTTTTTTGAACAGTGAAAAAGTGCTTTAAGCATTTTTAAATACTGTATGTATTTGTTATTGCAAGCATAACACAATTAAACTATTTTTTGTATAATATAATATTGTACAATTGTTTAAAACAAGTGTATAAAAAACCTCAGTCTATATAGCATAGATCAATGTTGTCTAGTTTTTTTTGGTTATAGGAACCTACGAATTGAAGTTATAAACCCAAAAATAGTTCAGCTGTCCAACACTGGTTTTAAAATCAGCCTTAACTCCCAGCTTTATATAACAGAGATTATCTCATGGCAAAATTATCACTTACTGGCACAGCTCATATTACATTTTTAAGTGGTTTTTCTATCACCAATTGCAACATTCGTTTAATATTTTATGTGTGCATATGATGCCAAACAAAAGTATCACGTAATATACTAGGCCACACAATTTAACCCTTTAATGGGCCATTTATTTCTAGTAAAGGTAAATTAAAGTATTTTTGGAATTGAAATTGTTTTAAGAATAGTAATTGGTATAAGAAAAAAAACTCATTTAGTTTATAAAAATGTCATTATTTTTGGTGGTAAATATATTTAACACAACTCATTGACTTTTATTTTTAAAATAAATTTTATAAATACTTTGCTACAAACTTCAAAAGGAATTCTGTATTTTATAACTTCTATAGTACCAAATAGTTACCAATTTTATTTAAACGCACTTCAAGGAAGCTGAAGTTAACAAATGGAAACCTAAATTAAAAGTTGTAAAAAAGTGGTGGTAAGTATACTTCCCACGGCGTTTAAAAGGGTTAACATAACAGGCCACTTGCATCCCAGGTGTTGGTCAGGCCTGCTTTAAGCATTTAAGTTTACATAAGTACAGACACATACAAATTTGTATAGACTTTTTTTATTTAAACTTTTAAGAATGTATAATTTCAGCATATATAAAGCACATTTTAGTCAATATATCCAAAACACATTTTTCAATAAACAATTACACATTCTACATTTGCAAAACCTGCATGATACAATATTCAAACTAGGAAATAATGTACAAAAAAGATGATCGTATTAAAAAAAAATGCCTGAAAAAGATGTTTTAAAATATAATGAATAAATATCAAAAATGAACCCAAGAAATGGATATTTTCCCGGTTTCCCTTCATATAACACTAGGACATGCACAATAGATATAAATGATGGAACAAAAATATAACAAACGCATTGTTCAATAAATCATTATCACAAATGGGAATGCTAAGATTCAGTCACAGGTAAAAATCAATGGGATAAATTTATAATGAAATATTTGAAAATACATTATGATGATAAATGCATCAATCTTCTTGCACTACATAAATATTTGAGTTCTTTATAATTTTCTTACAAGTGCAAGTTCATTTATAAAGAGTTACTTGTTTCAGTTTGACATTCTAATAAACACATCATGCAACTTATTTAATAATGAAGATAATAAAAATTTAAATTCTCGAATGCAAGAGTGAGAAACACATCAATACATTAAAAAAAATTGCAATTTATAAATCCTATAATACTAGTAAAATAAAAAGTACAAAACACATTAGTGCAACTAAAATTAATAATGTGAATAAAAAATAATCGTTCATAAAATGTAACTAACTTTACAGACATAATGTTTTGTTTGAAATGAATTTGTTAGAACTTCAAATTTATGGTCATTTAATAAAGTATAAATAATTTATATTTCAATTTTTTTATTTTAACATTTTGAAAGTACACATGAAATACAGTCAGCATTATAAACAGTTAATAAAAATGTATTCTTTTTACAAAAGAGATTCAAATTAATTTGAAGACTTTATTAGTTATTTTGCTTTTAAAATGTACATGATATACTGGAAAAAAATTATCAATATTTTAATAAATTATGTACAAGAATTGCATAATCTTTTATTAACAAGAAAATTAAGCTAAATGCATTTTAAAATTTTTTTTGTGTGAATGTTCTCAAAAAAAGAAAAAAAAATACTTTTTATTATTTACTAAATCAAAATTAATAAGAAAATAACAACTTCAATAAATTTTTAAAGCCTCTTTAACTTTTCAGATATGTAGACTATTGTTAAGCCATAAATAAATTATAAACAGGAAGGTTAAAAATACATGTCATAAATTTTCAGTAAACATTAAAAGAATAGTTGTTGGGAAATAATCTCATATTCCATTTGATTTTTAGCATAAATTATTTTTTTTTATTTAGCACATGATTCAGCATGCCTTATTTTTTCATAGTGAACTACAAGGCATTCAATACATTTTTCTTCCACAAAGCCATAAAATTGGCTTATATATAAAATGTATAATACAAAAAAAAGTCTATTTAAAGATATTCAAAAAACATTTTGTTGTTGAACGAGAACAAATTGAATACACTTTTCTGAATTACTGTTTCAAATATCTCCATAGTTAATATTACATTTTAAATTTATTTGGATAGAAAAATTAAACTGAATATATATATGTAGATATAAATTTGAAAATAAATAGAGAAATGTTTAACCATAAAGCTGCTTGTCATTGAGTAAAACTGTACTTTTGAAATACTTTTAACAATGCCAATATACTTTAAAACGCATTAATAAAGATTTGCGATAAATATTTTCTGTAAGTATGAAATGCAAAATAATAATTAATAAATAAAATAAAAATAATATTTTAAATAAGTGTTTTTTTTTAATTCTTTATATTTTATAAAAAAAAAAAAATTAAGTGCATGCTATTCAAAATTAGATACACAAAAGGAAAAAAAATTTTTTTTATGAATCTGAAAGTAATACTATACTAATACAATGTCTCTTTAAAGAAAAAAAAGGCTCTTAACAATTTTTAATCAAATTTCTTTTTTCAACAAGCGTATAGGAATGAGACAGGATCAACAAACAATATTACAAAGATATTTGAAAGAGAGTAGGTAATAAATGCAAATGCTATAAATTTGAAAAATAAAATATTACTATAAATGTTTATATAAACACAATTACAATGTTTTCTTGTTTTGTTTATATCCGTAGAAAAGTTAAAAGATTCAAGGAACTGAAAAGCCAAAAGGAAGCACATGTGAGAAGTTAACTTTTAAGAGGAATTTTCCATTTATATTCAAATACGATTAACAACTTTAGTATTAAATATTAATCTTTTAAAAGTTCATTATTGTTAAATAAGCTTTGCCAAAAAATAATTTTTAATTGACTTTCATTTTGAGAAACAGAATAAATGCCACTAAGATGAAAATTGTTATATCATTTTAGGGTCTATCTGACATCATAAAATTCTTAAAATTATGCAACTTTCAAATTTACAATTAGTTATCAAAGAAGTTTAAATTGCAAATAATTAATTACAAAATAATCCATGGGGCTTTTCAGTACCTGAAGTAAGTTTGCATTAGAAGAGTATAAAAAAATTACTATGAAAAAATTTCTTAACTTATGAAATATTACAAAAGTTTATTAAATTCATAATGCAAAAGTTTCAGAAGTAAACCACTGTTACATTTAAATGCACACAGTTTAATTTAACAGTATATTTTTGTTGCAGAAAATGTATAAAAAATTTTATTAGCACAAAATCAAACATTTATTAAGAACAACTGGGAGGTTATAAACGAAATCAAATACTTTATTATAACTGGTCTAGAAATTTCAAACATCTGTGCCTCTTTACACAATTCTAAAGATACAGCATGACCCCAGATTCTTAAGTAGGATATTCAAATGAATTCCCTGTGAATTAAAACAAAAATATATTCTTTTAGAACAACCACATATGTTCTTTTTATTCATAGAAAAAAGATTGTTATGACAGAAGCACACAAAAATATTTCTCTTAGCTGCAAAAAATTTGCAATGAGTTTAATGAAGTAAAACCAACAGCATGTTTCACTTCCCGCACTGCAACAAGTGAGAGCGCAAACTGCATTTTGATCGAGGTCTAGATGTGCTCTGATGAATGAGGGTTTCTTCACTAGCTACCATTCGTTTATGATCGATGACAACTTCGGGATTAGAAACAACAACATCACGCTCTTCATCGCTATCTTCAGTTATGTGGCATGATGAACTGGATTCGGGAAATCCAGAGGGATAAGACACGCTTCTTGATGATGATCCTTTTTGGGAGGATGAATCCTAAAAGAAACAAAGATTACATCAAGCATAATACACTTATCATAGATCATAAAAAGCGTTTTTTTAAAAATTAGGAAAAATAACAAAAACCTAATTATCTATAATTAATCAAGCACATTACAGAAAAATTGAAATGTTAGTGCACAAATTTTTTTTTACCTTGACAAAATAATGATAATTAAAAGAATAATTGTGGATGAAAATTTTACTATTTAGTCCAATATAAAAATTTAAGAGAGGTTAGATTTGACAAGCTGGGAAAAAGAATAAGAAAAATTCAGCACATTAATTAAAAACAGCTTAAATGCAGTTATACCTAAAACAACCAATGATTTGGAAGAAAAAAAACAAACAGGAAGACAAGCATTGCTTCATTTTAAATATGAAAGCAGATGATCTTTCTTGCATAGTTTAAATTTTAGTTACAAAATCTATCTGCAAATGGTGCTGCTGACAGAAAAAAATCATAAAACAACGCTTTATGCTGTAGACAGACAAATCAGATTGAATTTTTTTTCTTGGATACCTATTTTATTTCTTAAACTGTGTTGTTGCTATAAATAGGTGCTTTTTTTTTCAAAGGGTAAAAAAAAAACTAGTTTCTCCAGCAACACTTAGGTAACATTTTAACTCCTGTGTTCCGTCAATAGATATTTAATTACTAATCATTTTTAAGGCAATTAATATACTCAAGGGTGATTGTGAGCCTTATTAAAATTTCTTGAGTAAAATCATTAATGACCCATATCATAAAACTAATGTCTTTATTAATTTAAATTATTGATATTTTCAAAACACGAATTTCTAAATAAATTATATACAACATAATTTAAATGAATAATTATGTGTAAGTTTACTTTTATTTTTAATCACATTTATTATTCTACCAAAGAAATATTTACAAATGAAAGAGACGCCAAGTATAAATTCCAGTTCTAATATTTTTAAATAAAATATACAAGAATTTTTAGACATAAATGTGATCCATGATTTCTTGAAACTTCTGGACCTTGGATTTCCGGATGGCAGTTAGCGAAAAATCCGGAAATCCCGATTTTTTCCGGAACACAATCATCGCTGTATACTTTCATTTGAAAAAATTTCTATCAACAGTTTTCTTTTTTTACTTATATCTTTATTTATTATTACCATTATTTGCAATGGCATCACATTAAAAGAAAATAAACTTTTAGGAATTAAACAGATGTTTATTAAAGAAAATAAAAATGTAATCACACTTTAATATTAAAACTCAAAGTATTTTAGAATATTTTAATGCTTTACATAATAAAATATACACAGAGCTCATTCTAGACAGAGAAAAGGGCAGGGTGCAAAAGTTTAAAAAAAAGGGCATTATTGTTCTAAAAAGGCAATAATTTCCTTCTATGGGCATTACACGTTCAATTAAAAGACATTGTCAATTAGTAAAAGAATTTTNTCTGATATACACACATGTACAGCACACTACATCATATATGTATAATGATTTATTAAATATAATGATAAGTTAAACTTCTATTTGGTACATCAATATAATTTATTTTAACTAAAAAAATAAAAGCTTACTTGATTAGAAAGAACTTTATCATTGTGTTCTTTCATGCGATGATGAGCCTCAGCTATAGCTAGAGTGGCTTGATGAACTTTCCTATAAATTCTATCACCTTCTAAAGTATGAAAAACAAACATGCCTTCTCCAGTTACACATTGCCTAGAATTGTAAAAGTGACGGTATTAATAACTTTGGTCAGAAATTGTTAGTACACCAGTAAGTGCAATAATAATTTCGTAACTATGATTTGTAATCAGCAAAATTACTTATAACTTAAATATTTAGGAAAAATTCTTATTTCTTAGCTCATAACATAATTTTAAAAATTCATAATTAATTATATTTTTTCATAATTGCTTATTTTGTCAACCCACACCTTGCTTGGGTACATATGCAACAAGAAAATTTTTTTTCTTCCCTTCTTTAAGATATTTAATAAAGAGTTTAAAAAAAAAATAAGTAAACATACATATTTTTGGAAAAAATTTTTTTTTAGAACAAATGCATATTAAGTCTTCAAATCAAAAACTCATTTTTTAAAATTATTATTAGTTAGAAATTTATCTAGAAAGATTAGTAACATTTTTACAAAAAGATTAAGAGAAATGATCATAAACATTTTTTACTTTAAAAAAAAAATTTAATAAACTGTATATTTATCTAAACAAATGTCTATCATATTCAAAATATTTAACTAAGATTTTTCCTCTTTTCATTTTTTCAACAAAAACATAAGACGCCCCTTTACAGATTTTAAATAAAACTTTTTTGAAATTAAAAATTGCTATCTTCTCAAATGAAAAAGACTATAAATTTTTTTTGGATTGATTGTTTATTTAATTCCGCGTAATATAATAGTGCTTTTATTTATTTTTTTGTTTTCTACATTTCAATAAATATCAAAATTTCCAATGGGATTTTTTTTTAATTCTTTAAAGCTCAACTTTTAAAATTTGTTTAGACTTTTTTTATCATTATTTATTTTATTATCAAGTTTGGTAAACAGTTATTGCACAGACAAGAGCTTTTTAAATCACAATTCTTTTTGACATTATATCTACCAGTGAAAAAAAAAGCTCCTAAATATATATATATGCATCAAATACTGTTGCTTATAAACATTTCAAGCTATAAGAATTAGTGGTTTATTTTTCGAAATAATCCTTTAATATTAGCAGAAACCATTTATGCATTAAAAAACTTGTTACACTGAGAAAAAAAAAAAGAAAAAAAAAAAGCATTGTTGTATTAAAAAACAGTTAAGAAAACTCTAATCTGGAAATCAAATGGGAATGAAAACAAATTTTGGTTCCATATTATTTAAATTCCATTACGCATTCATGATTTTCTTTCTTTGGTTATTACCCCCCTATATACTGTCTTATTTCCTAAAAACTATGTACAGTAAAGAAATTGAATAAAGATTACTTACCTTCCAGCTTCAAAAGTAAATTTAGAAGGATCGCTACCATATCTACGCAAAGCAGTTAATGGCCAAGCAACTAATTTCACTCTTGAATTGTTGATATCCCATAAATAAATATTCTCATGAGTGACTTGTAATAAACATTCTCCAAACACATCTAACTTGGGTGTAGGCATAAGATAAACATGAAATTGTTCTAGAAAAAAGAAAGACCCTTATATTTTGATGTCTTCCTTTCAAAATTTATAGTCAATTACTATTGTAAATAATATAATAGAAAAGTAACTTGTTACTTTCTAAAGGAATTGTGAAATAATAAAAAATAAGAATCAAATTATTATCTTGTTATGCGTTATTAAAAAAAGAGATTTAACTTCTTTATCAACAAACCACTTTTAACTAACACGAGGAAAGCAACATACATACAGAGATTTAAAATTCATTTAACTAAACCAGAAAATAACTGCGTCATGTGGCCAATGAACAAAAAAAAGGGGGGTCATTTTTTTTTTCTTTCTAAAAATCGTTAAATGATAAAAGCATCGGAGGGAAATCAATGCAGGAATAATCTGAAAGACTGAATTTTCATCAAAATGTCCTATGTCTCCATGCAAATTTTTTAACCTTAAGAATCCATCAATTTATGTTGGAAAGATTCATGTGGAAGCAGAGCTCTTCAACAATTTACTCATTTAAAAGTTGTAATGTATAAATTATGTTTTTTGCCACCCCAAATATTTCAGTATGTTTAACAAAATTTTATCACACATTTATATTATTTTTATAGAATTAACTTTTCAAAACTGTAAATTATTTCTAATATCCTTTTTTTTTAAAAATATAATTTAATCCGAGCAAAAAAATTTACAGAAAATGACTATTAAATGAAAAGGACAGAATTTTTGACCCACCCACAAAAAAAAAGGGTTCAAATGTTTTTTTTTATAAACATAATCAAAAACAGACTAGTAAATATTAATACACAAATATACATAACCCTACTTTCAAAACTTAGTGTATTTAGATAAATATGTATGCAACTTTGAATTAACATAATGATTTTTCTTATTTCTACATTAAAAAAAATCACTTTTTTAAAAACAATAACTTGAATGTTAAATATTATTTTAATAAGGGTTTTCCCTCAATTTCAGAAAAAAAATTCCCTGACTTTTCTGGGAATATTAAGTAAATTTCGATGAAAATACAGACCATATTTTATCTATACCATGTAATTTTTCATCAGAAACCTTTGATTTTTTTTATTTGTAATTTAAAATAATGGATTTTGTGAGTAAAAAAATTAAAAAAATTTTATTTTATATATATATCATTAAATAAGGATGAAAAGATGGTAGTTTGACTAAAATGTGAAATTTTCACAACAAATAATTGTAATCAATATTAGAATTATTTAACTTGAATCTTACTTACTGATGCTGACAATTCTAAGACTGGCTACTTTCCAGGTTTCTGTGAGAAATTACAACTTTTCCTGATTTTTTGTGTTAAACTAAAATTCCCTGACAATTCCATGCTTTCCCTGACCCATGGGAACCCTATTTGAATTGAACAAGTGCAAGGTACAGGCTAGAATAACTTTGTCTTTCTTTTATCTCCTTAATAAGTTTTCAATATAACGGAATATTAAACTAATAATCTTTTAATTATTTTCAAAAGAATATTTTTGTTTCATAAAATATACAAATGGGTATATAAATAATTTATTAGCAGTTATATTTTAATGCTACAAAATAATGATTTAAATATAAAAATTCATTAAATTTCAAACCATGATAAAATACTGAATAATATGAAATTAATGTTAACTTATTTTGCATAATAAATTTTGTTTACTAAAAGTTTACATGATTATTTTATTCACATTATCAATTATTGAATTCACAGCAAAACTAATTCTAAATACATAGCTTAAAGAGCAATTCAAAAAATTATTAAGAAAATTGTTAAATAAATAGTAGGTTTGTAGTTAGCTGGCCTGCAAAAGACTTACTTTATTTTAACAAAAAATGAAACTATAAATTAAGTATTTAAAAACAAATCAATAAAACAGAAAACATATTTTTCTAACCCCAATATTATGCTTTTCTTTCAAGTCAAAGAAGGAATTAATTTAAGAGCCTTTTATTAATACCAGCATGAAAAGATAGTAATACATTAAAATTAAAGCCATTTTACTATTTTAATTCATTATTCTCCTATGAATGTTTTCTTAATTAAACTTAAACTAAAATTGTTCTCTTTTGAATGAAAAATTAAAATTTAAACCTAAAATGGTAATATATATATTGGCTATATTTTAAAAAGCCCAATAAAACCCACCGGGTTGTTTTTTTTTAAACCCTTGAAAAGGATTTATTGATATAGGTCACCAACTCATTAAGATTGATAAAAAAGTGGCTACCAAGTTATAAGAGTTTACCAGCCACTGGTTACTAACTGAAAATTTGAATTTTCAGGTCTACATTTAACTAGTTTTCTAAGTATAACAAAAATGCCTCAAGCAGACTTTGTAATAAAATCTATGACATCAGCAAAGTAAGCTAGCAGACCGGTGACATTATAAATAATTTATATTGACTGAGATGCATATTTTTTCTCTCTACGGAATGAATGATGAAAAAATTACAATGGTCTTATAAGTTTCTTAAAACCTTCATATAATCATTGCAGAATTGAAGAAAATATATTTGTTTACTTCATTTGAAGAACATCAAGGTGCACAAAAAATTAGCTGAAACTAATACCTTTTATGTCTCTCAAAAACTCAATTCATTACCTTGTAATTCTTTCTGGATTCCAGGGCTTAAAACATCAGGTTCTCCAGTAGCAAATCCAGGCTGTGGAATAAGTGATTCTTGTACCAATAATTTCACCCAAGTGTCTGCTTCCATATCTTTAATAGAACAAATAATATATATATAAAAAAAATTAATTTTTTTTTAAATTATGATTTAAACATTAAGGTAAACAAACAATGAAAAAGCTTTTTTTTTAAGGAATTAAGAGTAGTGAGAAAAATATCCCTCCATAATAATATAGTAATTCATATTTGCTTTTATAGAATATTAAACTAAACATATAGATCTTACAAGAAAAAAGTATTGACATATTAAATTATAAATTAGATACTCAATCTAAAATAATACTATAAAAGCTTTCCTGAAAAATGTAATAGATTTTCTTTTAGAGAACTTAATTGAGGGGAAAAAAAAAACATATTTAAATTTGATTCTTCAGCTCCATTATGGCAGAATTTTTTCAAGCAATCTGCGACATAACTCTCTAGCACTAATGTCTTTCTGCAAGATACTTTTAATAACAAACATATATGTTACTAATTTGAAATAACAAAGGCACTGTGTTTAAAAAAAATATATAATTTTTTTTAATTGAACATGTAATAATTTTTTATTCTAATATTATGGGTGATATTCCCGCATTTTGTTGGGGGGATGCACAAATTATTTCCTTCTTCGCATTTCGTAAATAATTATTACAATAAAAAATCATGAAATATGTAATAGTAATTGCTGAAAAAAAGATTGATCATCAATCTCAATAAAAATATTTTTAGAAAACTTACTCAACTTCAGGAAATTCTCTAAAATTTACAAAAACCAGGAGAATTTTTATTAAACTAGTAGACCAGGAGAAACTGGTAAAATCCAGTAATCTACTTGTAAATTCAGTAGAGTTAGCAGCTATGTTTAAAACTAAAATATAAATTGCAGTTCATAAAAGTGTGCGACATAAGTAAGATAGGTTTCAAAGAAATAAATTAACAAAAGTATGGAAGTCAAGTAACTTTAAATAGAAAATGAAAAGGATTCTTCTCTTCATAAAATTTAATTCTTGTTTCCAAAGTAATTAAATTTAAAATATTAGAAAAATTGCCACATCCTTTATAGGGTTGACTTTGGAATTTTAACACTTACTGAAGATTTTCTGTTGAAGAAATATTAACCTTAAATTTTTTTTTTATTTTGTTATGTTAGAAGAGTAACCAGTGTTGTTTATTTTGAAACTTAAAAATTTGACATGACACACTTAAAGTTATGCTAAGTAAACATTTAAATTATGAATCTCTTTTTAAATCCTTTTCTTCAAGGAGTGTATGAACAACTACATAACATATAAACGTATAGAAAAAGTGCAAGCTCTCTCTCCTTTCGTAATTACCAATACCTGTCTTTATATCCTCAGAATTTATTCCATAAAATGGAACATTTCTATTGCATTACATTTTTCGTTAAAAATGATTGGAATAGCCGAAAAATTATTATGAAAATGAGAAAGATAGATGTATATGTATTTTAAAAGAATTGAAGGAATTTTTTAAAATAGTTTTTTCAAGGCAAACAAAAAAGCCACAATTTAGGTGCCTTACACTCACAGTAAAACTATTATTTTAAGCTATATAATACTATTTTGTCATAAATATTTGGTTTTAGAACACACAAATCTTAAATATTTTATAAATTGACTTTTTGAAAAAATTCCAATTTAATTTAAATAAGATTTTTCAAACTAGGTAATTATCATAAAAATAATTCAAAATTTTGACAAATTTTTATGAGCCAAGATAATCTAGCATTTGAATAACTTTTTCAACATGTGGGAAAAAAACAATTAGAGAACACTGACTAACGAATGAAAAAAAACTTATAATAGCCAGAAATATTGGCGAAAAGCACACAACAGTTTTAAAAACTCCTTCAATATTTACTAAAAAATGTTTTTTCCTCAGGGTGTGTAGCCAAATCTTAACATAAAATAAGCACCTTTTAAGTACTTTCAAAAAATATTTTTAAACACTATCTACATACATTAATAAAATGCAAAATAATTTTCAAAGACTTTGCATGATCATGATAAAATAACTAGTTTCTTACAAAGTACTCTTTCTTTGATTATATTAGCCATTATAAAATGATGAAGACATTGTTCGGTACGATATCAGAGGGTGGAAAATGAAGCCTGAAATTGAGAATATCTTGCAAAATGCAGCAGAGTTGCACATGCGAACGCAATAATCTCACAGAAGCTAGCTTAGTAGACGCACCTGCAGAATGCGAAATATTTTATCAAACATGTAAAATGATTGGTGCTTTTACGCTACAGACTGAATGTAAGCCAAAATGGATTGTGGCCGAATGAATTGTTAAAACATTGAATAGAACAATGTGAAAAGCACGCCTTTGCATAATACGTGGCGGCGACAATCGACATGGTAAAGAAAAAATTCTCATTTTCGAAAAGGGAAAATTAAGCACTGTTTGAAAACACCCAATAACAAAAGCACCTTTAATGGCTTTTAAAAATCGAAAATAAGTACCTTTAAGTACTTTTTAGAGCACCATGTTCATGTAGCATCAAAGCTTTAAAAACATAACCCTAAAGTAAATTAAATATTCACATGGAAATACTTTAAATTCATAAACATAGATAGTTGGGAACATTGGGGTGGAGTTTGATTTAAAAACAGTTACATACCAGAATCACAAGCAAAGCACTTGGTAGTCCCATCCAAGTAACAAATAGTAAATGCATGTCGCTTGACACTGTTAGGAATTCTACATATGGTATTTACAGCAGTAAGAAAAGCAATTTTATGACCGGTGATGGAACGAGCGGCCTTTTCATCAATATACTTTTCCAATCTGCATGGAGCTTTACTGGATGCACGCCTCAACACTATCCATCGTCTTTGCCACAGCTAAAAATTACAGAAAAAACAAATATGACTGTTTAAATATCATTACAATATCCATAGTTTAGGTTATATGTATTTAAAAGGAAACTTAATGAAAAAGTTACACATTCTTTTATATTGGTTGCTGTTTCTCTATTAGAAAAAATCTACAAACTTATCCTTATTTGTGATTCCATTAAGTAAGTTGTGAAGAGTAACATCAAGATCAATAAATAAAAATTTTGCAAGCAAGCATATGAACTTTAAAAACACCAGTGACAAGAACACAGATCTTTTTACACTTAGTTTTATGCTAATTCAATAAGTAATTTTCTTTATCAAAGATAACTGAATGACAAGAATTTACAAAGTGATATGTTAATAAATAAAACTGAAGTATAACTGAAGCACATTTAGGCAATTAAGTACAAATATTTGGTAAGGAAGAAAGAACAAGCCTAAGTATTATTCGTATTTTTATTTTCTAAGTATTATTCGTATTTATATATTTTTATTTCTCTGAGCACAAGCTCAGAGAAATCTTTAAATTTTTCGAAACGAAACGCTAATCACATCTCATATTCTGAAAATGCATGTCTTCGAAGAATTTCGACAATTTAATACAAACATTATACCAGAGTTCTTCCTAGAAATAAAAAAGGGCAGGGGGTTTCCTCCCCAAGGTTGACACTTAGAGCTTTGAAAGGAATGAAATGTTTTATAGTGACACTCGTGCAATTATCATTAGCAAACCATAAATGTCAGTTGAGTCTCAAGGATGCTAAAGAACATCAATACACAATAAACCAGCACTGGTGCTTTGAATAATACTAACAGATAGTCATTTTATATTAATAGGTTATTTAGTTTAATTTATTAACTTACTATTTTGTTTTGAAATGGAAACAAATTTATTATTTCAATCATCTATCCCTGCTTGCGCTTTCTTTACGCTACTGAATTATTTATGTCAGTTTTAAGATATTTCTCAGATCTTCCGTCAAGTCGTTATGTGATCCAATCATAAATTAATTAGTTTGCTGTTTTAAAGTGAAAGCAAGATGTTTATTTAGAGGTTAGTGGTAGTAATACTTTATGTCTAACTAAAGCTACAATAGGATCTGGAGGCATCTGATCACAAAGTTAATGTTCTCTGGAGGAAATGGCTTCTGCTTTGGTAGCACAACAATCTGCACGCAAAGTTCATCACTTAATGATTGAACAGTTTATCGAGCACCAAGACTGCACATACTCTGCCCCTTCACGCCCTGATGAAAGTGGTCACCCAACCACACACTGACAGTTGTCAGTAATATTCGATTATAGTGATCTACTAGGAACAGTATCTTAACAATCAGTGTACAATGGAACTAGTGGTTAGTGACTAATTTTTACTTCACATAAAATTATTCAACTTCTTTACATTTAGGACTCACTATTGATAGGTAAGAATATTTATCTCACAATCAAAGTGGAGCTTTGTGCATTTCTTATCGACATCTGGCATACAGCTTTCCGCTTAGCTTCTGGCATATAATATTTATTTAACTCAAAACTATTTCTTTTCAGGATAATTTCCAGTCTTAATATTTAAAAAGTATGTAGGTAATTTATTATCTTGATTGAAACTTTCCTAAGCAAATGTAATTACATTTATTTGTTTCTTTTTGTTTTATGACATTCTGAATATTTATTTGAATGAGTCATTATTCTATTTTAGTTATGATCAATTATTTTTCAGATGCTCAACCACTGGATTTCCACTATACTAAATTTATTTATGTTTCAGTTAATTAACTTACCCATTTATTTACAATAAAAATTAATCTTTTTTATTTATGAATCTTACTTGCAATTCATACATGCCATCCATTCAACAAATATTGTTTGTTGCCACAAAAATCTTCATTTACAAAATAGTAGAGGAATAACTTGAAAGTCATTTCAAAAAATTCTTAAATAATTCATTAAAATTCCTATGAATGATATTATATAATTTTACTAACATTTGATTAATAATAATTGTTTTATAGATACTTACACCTAACTTGCAGCTCCTTATTCGGAGATAACCCTGTTTGACAATATCACTTATGTCAGTTGCCATCACTTATAAAACAGCCTAAGTTTCATCTACCGCTAAAAATT